CACACACACACACACACACACACACACACACACACACACACACACACACACACACACACACACACACACGCGCACACACACACACACACACTTAGTCCAGGTCTTTGTCTCTGAATCCTCTTTGCCATTCTCCAATTAACCCCCTGCTGGTCTCTGTTCCCACCTCTTGGTTTTATAAACTGTTTAAAACTCTGATATCTGCTCGTCATCCTCTCGTCCCTGCAGTTCGGATCAAACCAGGTTCCACGTCTCCGGAGTATCAGAGCGACAGCGAGGCAGAAGGCAGCCCCGACTCCGGACCGGCCTCCCTCAGCGCCCAGAGCATCGAAGCAGGGTGAGTGGAGGCGGCGTGCTTTTCTGCAGCAGTGAGTCCATGTAAAGCTGCAGACGACGGGTTCACACAGCAACTTGTTTTTTTTTTTAGTTCAAAATGCATCGGCGCTGTTGGAAAAGCTGCAGATTAAACATTTTTAGCAGGCGAGGGGAAAATCACGTAGGAATAAGAGCTAGTTGTAAAGAAAACAAGCGGTGTGCGGATGTCCCCGTCGCCGACTTCAATCACGAGCGTTTGTTTTCAAGATGAGGTTTTCTGGACTGGAAATGATCAGGAACTGGGAGTAGACCTTCATATTTTTGGTGAAAGATATCCACGTGGTTAGAAGGTACACTGTGCAAGAACAGAGTGTTTGTTTGTTTGTTTGTTTGTTTGCCTGAGGCGGCACAGAGTGACGGTGAGTGGAGGGAACAGGTTTATCTACAGCCAGGGGGTGGCCAACGGTGGCCGTGGCAACTACACATTAATGTTCGGCCACCTCAGTCCTTGAGGAAACTAGACCTTTAATCAATATCTGAAGTAGAAATCAGAGTTCCCTCAAATGGTGGTGGCCATCTTGGATTTTGACTTGGCAACCCATTTGTATAGGGACCCTCTTACGCCTAAACTCACTTACAAAACGAGGCCAAAATTAAAACCTTTTTCAAACTAAAGGGCCGGATTCAGAATCTACATGAACCCAAGTTAAATACCAAACATCTTTTGTTGGTTGCAGGTTCCTCAACTAGAGTTTGATTGGTCTCATTTGATGTTCCCTGTTGCACTTTCGACATCATAATCAAAGATTACTGAAAAAGATTCAAGTGATATAAGTATTTTAAATTTAACATATCATCTTGGCCAGATAAGATGTCAACTTGAGTTTGACACGTGTGGCCTGGAGGCATCCACACACAAAAAGGAAGTTGACACGATTCTTATTGTCAAGTTATTATGCTCACAACATGCACGGATGGAGGGTTTCATATCATCACCATTTGGACGTACTGGATCAAGTGAAAACTATTTGTCAGAATATAAAATTACAATATTCATGAACTAGACATGTTTTTTTTTTTTCTGGGCGACACGGTGGCTCAGTTGGTAGAGCTGTTGCCTCTCAGTGAGAAAGTTGCCAGTTCAAATCCCAGCCCTGACCTTTCTGGGTGGAGTTTGCATGTTCTCTCCGTGCATGCGTGGGTTTTCTCCCGGTACTCCAGTTTCCTCCCACAGACCAAAAACATGCATGTTAGGATGATTGGTAACTAAATTGTCTCTAGGTGAGAGAGTGAATGGTTGTTTGTCTCTTTCTGTCCCTGTGATGGACTGGAGACCTGTCCAGGGTGTCCCTCGTCTCTCGCACAGTGACTGCTGGACATGGGCACCAGCGACCCCTGTGACCTGAAAAGGAAGAAGCGGATAAAGATGATGGATGGATGGACAGACATGTTTTCCTCTTTGTCTCACCTGCTTCCATCATGAATCCAGTAAACACTGTTGTTTTGGACTCTCCGTGTCCAGGATCAAACACCTTTAACCCTTAAAGGTTGTCAGACAGCCCAACACTGTCCATCAGCTATTAAAGAATGAATGAGGTTTCCATGATGTCATCATTTGGTTTTCTAAACTTCAGTCCATCCACATGTATTATAACTCTGGAGCCCCAAGCAGGAAGTTAAATCCTGAAGGAGAGTGGTGTCCCCTCCGAAGGACGGTCCCAGTGAAAGTTTTAGAATTCACTCTTGCACATCCGTATGTTTGGAAAACCACAAGAGCAGCGTTGTCCACAGTTTGATATATGTCAGGTCTTATGTTCCTTTGGAACCTCCTGAAATCAAACGTTAGTGAAGCAGGTTTCTGTGATGTCACCTGGCTCCAGAGGCCGTGACACAAGTCAGCAGGGCCGTAGCAGAGAAAGACTAAAGTGAAGCAGGGTTTATGGGCAATCTGGTGCTTGTGTGGGTCACCGCCCTCGCCTGCAGCTTCCTGACTAATTACATTACTGCAACGCGGCCACGGACGCTTATATAACCTTATGTAACCCAGTGTGGAGCCGACCGCTGGACACCCAGACCGCAACACCGAGACAAAATCCACATGTGTAGAGGACTGGGGTCCTGGGGTGCACGGGGACCTTCTAAAGGAAAGGCCCAGGATGTGCTGCAGAGTCACCGTGAGGTGGTGTCCAGCGTGTTTGTTAGAAAATCAGGGCAGAGTGGCTGCCACGCCCGCTGGGCGCGGCCCTCTTACCCAACCGTTCGTTCAGGGTGTGGGTGTTGATGGTTTGCTCAGGGCTGGAATCTGCCACATCTGTGAGAGAGACGCTGTTTGATTTGAAAAAAAGTATGTTTGTGGGTCGTTTTATATATTATTTTGACAGGTGTGTGCATGTGTGTGTGCACGTGCATGCATGTGAGTGTGTGTGTGTGTGTTGCTGGGCAGGGCTGTCCCAGAACTGCGATGTAAACAAGGTTACATAATCCAGTTTGCCGTCACGCCTCTTTGTGAAACGGCTCGAGAGATTGCAGATTTTTTTTATTCTCTTTACATTAAAGTTTTATTTGAATCACGATTATCACAAAAACATTGAAACACCGTTGGTTTGTTACAGATCAGATTTAGAAAGAATAAAATTAGAAAAGCACAATGAAAAAAATGAGATAAAAGAAACAAAATAACTTTTGTTTTCCAGATTTTATCTTGTTGAACTGAAGAAAGTGTGAAATAAAAACAGGTTTTGAAAAAGTCACAGAGAAATGGTGGAATTGGATCAGTGGCGTTGCTGTTTGTCACTGAGTGGTCATGTGGCGCCCCCTGGTGGCGAACAGGTGAATCTCAAGTGGACAAGAAAAATTCCTCCACATGTTAAAAGTCGCTCAGATGACACAAACACAAATAAAATCAGTTTTCTCGTTGTTGCAGTTTGTTCCTCCACCGGAACAGAACGGCCGTTTCACATGAATTAACATAACGCAGCAAAAGTTGTGCTCTGTTTTCACGGAGAAGCCGTTTGTTGTTTTCTGTTATCACAACGGAAGATTCTGACGTCACAGTTTCAAGTCCGAGAGCCGAATTTTTGATTAGCCTTGCAGCTTTCGGCTGTTTGGCACAAAAACTGTGGAGACTGGACTGTAGGTCAGACACATGGCAACACATCAGTGGACGAAAGGGAATAAACTCAGTCCATCCATCTTTTACTCGTTTCTTCCATTTTCGGGTCACGGGGACTGGTGCACATGTCCAGCAGTCACTGTGCACGAGGCGGGGGACACCTGGACAGGTCTCCAGTCCATCACAGGGACACACAGAGACAAATTAGACAAACATTCACTGTCTCTCTCACCTAGGGACAGTTTAGAGTTACCAGTCAGTCTAACATGCATGTTTTTAGTCTGTGGGAGGAAACCGGAGTACCTGGAGAAAACACACACATGCACGGAGAGAACATGCAAACTCCACTGTCCAGGAAAAATGGGGAGTGTAGTAAAGAGGTGAAAGAGAGTCCAGGGAGGATGGAGTGGATGTGGAAAAGTGGTGATAAATGACAAAAGGGTGTCCGCAAATATCAAAGGAAAAGTTTACAAGACAGTTGTGAGACCAGCTATGTTGTATGGTCTGGAGACAGAGACATGGACAAAAAGACAAGAGACAAAACTGGAAGTAGCAGAAATGAATATGTTGAGGTTCTAACTAGGAGAGACAAGGATGGTGAAGATCAGGAATGAGATCATCAGAGGTACAGCACAGGATGAACAACTGGGAGATAAAGTTAGAGAGGACACACTGAGATGGTTTGGACATGTCCAGAGGATGGACAGTGGTTTGGACATGTCCAGAGGAGGGACAGTGAGTATATTGGTAGAAGGATGTTAGAAATGCAGCTGCCAGGAAACAAACACAGTAGAGATGTATGGATGCAGTTGGAGTGAGATGGAGGAGGATGACTCACTGTGGAGACGACCCCTGAAGAGCTGAAAGAAGAAGAAGAAGAAGAAAAGCTAAAGCAGCAATATGTTTGCTACATTTTTAATTTTTTATAATTACCTTTATTTTACCAGGAATAGATCCATTGAGATCATCAATCTCTTTTACAAGGACGTCCTGGACAATATACAAATAAACACAGTCTTAAAAACCGTATTAAAATATTTACAACAAAACATCCATTAGTAAAACATAAAATGCAATGCAAGTAAAAAAAAAAATCACTGTTTAAGACACTAAACATTAAAAGTATGAAAAAGCTAAATAGAGAATATGTAGACAAAAACAGAGCAAGTAGCTCAAGCAGATTTTCTCAGTGTATTTTTTTAAATAAAGTGTCCAAGTTACAACAAACTAAATCTATAGCTTCTTTCTTCAGAAGGAGCTGAATGTTTCAATACGGGAATAACTCCAATAAAACCAAAGTTTGCAGAACACGATTGTGTAGAAATGAATAAAAACGGGGACACTCGGATGGCTCCGGTTGTGAAGCCGTCAGTGATCGACCTCCTGTGTGTGTCTCAGGTCGGGTATGGACCTGGAGCCCGTCGATCCCGACACGCTGGACCTGAAGAGGCGGCGGATCCACATGTGCGATTATGAAGGCTGTAAAAAAGTTTACACCAAGAGCTCCCACCTCAAAGCCCACAGGAGGATACACACAGGTAGGAGCGCCGAAAGCAGACATTTACACACTGAACTGCAGACATGGACAGAGAAACCGTTTAAACTCGCCAGCGGTGCGTTTTGTAAACAACACGTTGTAGATGCCTCTGTTCATCGGTGGTTGTTGTCTGTGCAGGAGAGAAGCCGTACCACTGCACGTGGGAGGGCTGCACCTGGCGCTTCGCCCGCTCCGACGAGCTCACCCGACACTTCCGCAAGCACACGGGAATCAAACCTTTCCGCTGCACCGAGTGCGACCGCTCCTTCTCCCGATCCGACCACCTCTCTCTGCATCGCCGTCGCCACGTGATGATGTGAACGCTCCTTCGAACTCACCTTTGACCCCTCGGTTTGTCGGCGTGCCGGAGCCCCTCGCCTCACGCGAGCCTCTGCTGCTTCCTGGACATTTTATTTTTACTCCTGCTGGATTTTAAGGCCGATCTGCCGACGAAACGACGGACGCTCCCTCCTCCTCTCCTCGGTGAAGTCCCAGGATTCACGGAACTGCGCATTTGTGTTCATGCATGGAGGAAATAATAAACCGCATCAGTGTGCTCCTCAAACCAGCACTCCGCACAACCCTGGACCCAGTTGTCACACGTCAGAGTCGTCCGTTCTGAAACGGGATGGACTGAAAAGCATTCGGCAGCAGGGACGTTCATGAATCCATCCGAAGGAGAGGAGGAGCGTTTCATTTCAAACCCTCACCCGGGCGTCACTTCAGCTGCTCTTCAGTTTTCCAACATCGGGTCTGATCAGAAACAAAGAAACTCCCTGAAAATGCTTCCAGCAGCTAAAGGAACCTTTTCAGGATCTGAAGACGTCTACGCCGAGTTCAAACCAATTTTATCGTCAAAAAAACAAAAAAAACAAAAACTACATTAATACGAATAAATGCTGTAATTGAAGCTGAAAGCAGCCGAAGTGCAGCGCAGCCGCGAGGGCCTCCTCCTCCCCATGAACTGAAAACACTACAGCCCTGCTGATGTTTCTTTATGGAAACCGTCTTTGAAAATGTTCTTTTCACTTCTTTATAGAAACGTTCATTAAGTTGTCGGACCAAGTTCTGTAAGAGCTGCGCTGACGGAGGCTGGAGTCAGGAGGCGGTACCGGCAGGCTTCTGTTCGGTGCTGGTTGGGCTCAAACACCGACCGACCCGGCTCATCAGTCCGTTTATTTATTTTCAGCAGCTGAAGTGACGTCGACCCCCCCACCCCCCGGTACATGGAGCTACAAGACAGCAGACTTTCTAAAGACTACCTAGTTTTCGGCGCATCAGTGACTCTGTTGCTCCGCCCCCTCGTGCACACCTTTCTGATCCTTCTTTAATAACAGTATTTGCTTTGTATGCTTAGTTGTTGGTGTTTTACAAAAAAAAAAAAAGAGAGAGAGAAGGCCTTCAGTGCACAGATGTTTTTTTTTTTCTTTCCTCTTCGTTGCCAGGTTGGCCGCTCTGAACTTTATTTTGTAGAAAAAACAAGAAAAAAAACGTTCAACTTTGTTTTCCGAGGCTCTGAAAAAGACTGGCAACACAAACCGTTTGGGAGGTAAAACTTTCACACAGCAGGGAAAACCGGGAGCTTTTCAGAGTGTGTGTGTGTGCGCGTTTGTTTTGAGATAAAAATCACATAATCCAAATAGAAGGTTTTTACGAGTGTGTGTTCCGGGCACTTTTACGTCTTGCCCGTTGAGCCTTAATAACTGGATTCAGTGTGTAAGGGCGACACCAGAACCACTGAGAGACGCAGACTTCAGTTTTAGCCCAATTTTAAATTAAATAAAATAAATCTCGTTTTAATCGTATTATTTGAGACGAGGGAAACAAGCACAGCTCTAAGTGAGAGTCCCGTCTGCAGCCTGGGCTTTCTGCTCCAAATCCAAACAGAAAAAAAGTAAAATTTTAGATAAAGAAAGTATTTAAACCCTTTTTTTTTTTAAAAATGATGGAAAATGTTTTATATTTAGGACTCTCCAGCCATTGATGCCATGAGAACATTCCCATAATTCAGAAAACGTGTCCAACTTTTAAAAGCAGGCACCATTTGTTCTGGTTTTCATACGTTTGTAATTGGCGCCAACTTGGACGCTACTAAGATCCAGAGAGGCTGCTGGGCGTCTCTCAGAGGTTCTGGCAGGATCTGTGGGGCTGCCAGGGTCAAAACCACGGGGAAACTAAGCTCTCCTCCCTGGCATTCCTCCCACACCGAGGGTCCGCTCTGAACTGGATCTTCAACTCGAATCAGCACGTTAGTCAAACTTGAGATGTTTCGGACCTCGTCCCCCGGCCCTGCTCTCTAACCCACGGTGCCCAAGTCTTTGGTGGGCTTCTCTTTGAGCCCCCCTGATCTGGGCTGAACACGATTATGCAAAAAACGCAGACCTCGCTCCACGCGCTGGTCTGAAGTCGGTGGTAGTTGGACCTCACAGTGACCTTTGAAAAGGGACGTCAGGACGTGCAGAAGCTCGTTTTGTCGATCAGAGAGCAGAGCCATCACGACCGAAACACCAGCAGGAGCTCAGAAATCACCTGGTGATCAGAAAAACCTGCTTTGATCGTCCCCAAATGTCCCGTTAGGAACGAACCCCAAGGTGTTCCTTGGAAGAACCATGCAGTTGTCGCCGTTTCCAACACAAATGACACTTCAGGCAGCAGAAGACCTTCAGCCCAAACAGTCACTGGATTTCATTTGACTTTTTATCTTCAGAGACGGGTTTAAACAGAGATATAAAACAATAAAAACTTTATTCAGTCGCTTGTGTTGCAGAGCAGAGCGAGACGTTTTCCCTCTTCTCCTCGGCTTCAAGATTAAAATTAAAAAAGTTACTAAGCACATCTTTCAAGAAGAGTATATGCGTTCGATTGCAAGTTTTTCTTTTGTAAACTGTTGATAAAGACGTAAAGGACAAATAAAAGAAACCCATGTACATAAATGTATATAATCAAAAAGTGCAGAGTTAATGTAACGGGTGAATTTCTATTTTTAACACTGACTAGACAATGTGAAAAAAAAATCTTACGTTGGTTTATGAATTGTGTTTTGTTTCGTGTTTTTTTTTTCTTTTCTCCAAACTTAATGTTTGTTTCGTAGTTTATTTTTAAAAAATGGTCCCACTTGTGTTGTGCACACTTGTGTTGCATGGAGAATAGCGTCGTTTCTTTTCTTCTAGTGTGCGCGTGCGTGTGTGAGAGAGCGACAGGTGGTGTCCCAGAATGCTAAAAAAAATCCCCACGGATAATTTTTTTTAAATTGTAATTGATTAAACGGGGTTTTTATTTCAGTCTCATGCACAAACACAAAAAAAACAACAACAATTAAATATGAGGCATTGTTGGTTTGGGTCAGTCCAAGAAGAAACAGGAAGTGCTAAAAAAAAATTGCTAAACAGGAAGTTAGCTTAAAGTTGTTGCTTTTTACTTTCTTGAAAGTTTTAAAAGAAAACCTAAAATTCAAATATATGTATATTTTCTACTAAATGAGTCAAAGACAATACTAGAGTAAGATTTGAACAGAGAAAGCCAAGTTAATAATAATAATAAAAATACAGATGCTACATAGCTTTAGCATGCTAGCACTTGCAGTGACTAGCATTCAGCAGAGACTCATTAAATGAAAGTCGTGGTATTTGTTGTAAATGTATTTTCTTACCTAGTTTTCTTACTTACTGAGAATTATTTCAGTCCTTTACAGCCACACAGACCAGCTGAACAAAACATCTGATGAAACGTCTTTTTGACAAACAGAAAAAAAAAAGGTGCTTCTGTAGCGCTTTCCATTTTAGCTCATAAGACTTCCTGACTCCTCCTTCATAAAACATATTAACGCTTTTATTAATATTAAAGTTAGAATTAAAAAGTTGAAGAAAACAGCAGCCCTGTTCACAAAATCCAACATGGCCGCCACTTACCAATTCTTCAAGGCTTGGTCATTTTTCTGTTTATTTTTTTTAGTCACAGCAGCGTCATTTTGTTCAAAATCTGCTTATTGCTTTTTTAAAATTAAAAGAGTTTATTGGCTCCATGTGTGCAGCAAAGCTTTGAGACCCATAGAATAAAAAATGTTGCAGTTGCTGCTGAATTTCCTCAGATGGCGTCTCCCTCAGTTAGCTGACGTTTGATTTCTGTTTATCAACTAAAAAAAAAAAACAACACACAAAAACTATTCAATTTCTGTTGTTTAAGAACAGACGTAACAGCGGCTTTTGGAGAAAAAGTTCAGTCTTGTTTTTTTCTGTACGATCCAGCATTGCGTTTTATCATGACTGAGGCAGAGACGTCTTACAGGATGAATCTGAATTGGCTTGATGGCGATGAAACACAGAGTCTCATCAGAAAACAAATGAGATAAGTTTTGTATTTTAACGTCCATTTTGCTCATTAAAATGTTATTTTAGGAATAGACAATGATGAAAACAATCAGCGGATGAACCTGTTTGATGTAAACCTGCAGAGTGGCACTGATGTTGGACCCAGTTCACTTGAGGATAAATCTATACACACATTTATTTTCTGCTTCAGGTTTTATTTGTTCAGTATTTCATTAAAAAACCTCTTTTCCTGTAAAACGTGTCGACCGAGCGTCTCCCTGCTGAGACCTGGAGTGGGACAGAAGTTTGTGTCCGTGCCTCGACCCATCAACACAAACCCAAAACTTTGGTCTTTCCTACTGAATGCAGTACCTTATGGGCCAGTAGTATATTTACTCAGTGCAATGCAGTTATAATAATACAATTATTAATAATATTTTCTCCAGTTTTTTTTTTTATTTGTACAGAACAAATGTGTAAAGACGAGCGAGGAAAACGTGAGCTTTTTGATACTGTGACTCATGGTGTTTAAAAGTCAGTTTCTCTGTACAGTTGTGATGAGTTTGCCTTCCTCTCCCTCCCTTCTTCTTTTATAGAATAAAAAAATGTTTTTGGTGCAATTTAACGCCCGTGTTGTTTCTTATATTGTACTTTCTCAGTGTAAACAGACGGATAAACCAAGTGACTCACAGGAGAAACGGACATCTGGAATTGAACGTTCATTTAGAGTTACTGGCAAACTCAACATCTGGTACAACACCAGCACTTTGTAACAGTTTAATAGATTCGTTTCAGCAGCGGAGCGCCGTTTGTTCTGCAGAGCCATTAGCAACAAATCAGCAGCTTAAAAGTTTTAGTCATGAGATTTTGTGACTACATGCTCAAAAGTAAAACAGCTTGTGCTTCAGGCAGTATTTTGTTAAGATGTTGTGCTTTAAGCCTTGAAAACTCAAAGTTTGTCAAGTTGCAAACTGTCAATTAATTATATTTATCTGGCATGTTTAAAACAGCTGAGGATCATCAAAACACTTTACAGTCAAACCAGACAACAATTCAATTCAGTTTATTCATATTGCACCAAGTCACAACAGAAGTCGTCGCAATTCTGAATACGACAACATAGAAATATATAATAAATATATAACTGTATCGTCAGCAAAACAATGAAAGTTTATCCCATGCTGTTTAATAACTTTACCTACGGTAAAAAGTATTGGTCCAAGCACTGAACCCTGAGGAACTCCATGACTAACGTTAGTATAAGAAGAAGATTCATTTACATTTATGAACTGGAATAAATCGGATAAATATGATTTAAACCAATTTAGAGCCGTTCCTGTAATCCCCATATAATATTCAAGCCTCTGTAGTAGAATGTGATCAACTGTATCAAATTCAGAACATAAACACAGAATAATAAAAGATAAAACATACATTTAAAAGCACAGTAAAAGTAGACGATCTATTTAAATCTAAGCCAAACTAAAAGATGAGTCATAAGAAAATATTTGTTTGTTTGTTTTAATCTGAGTTCAACGTAAATTAATGAATTAACAGCTCTTGACAAAATGAAAAGGTAAAATGAACAGTAAGAATAATAATAATAATACCAGCGTGCCACAAAAGACCTGCCTGAATAAAAAGTTCATGCTCCAAAATCTAGAATAAAAAAATCCAACAAAGTTAAGACAGGTCATCTGGACAGATTTCGATTTACATTTGAGATTTAAAAAGGCTCCATCATGTTTGTAGAGTGTTGAGCTCAGGCGCAGGCAGAGAACTCAAAAGTTAAAAAAGAAAACTTATTTATTTACAAAATGAAAACAAAAAGGAGCCGACGTGGCAGCAAGAAGCAGAGAAACACGAGGGTGAGACATCGAACGCACGGACAAGTGAAACGACAGACAGGTGTGTAGAGGGAACACTAACGAGAGGCGATGACAAACACCTGGGGTGAGGCGATGAGGGAGGCAGAACCACATGAGGAGAAAACACAAACAAGAGGCTGAAAATGATAAATAACATTAAGGACCAGAAACCATGAAAACACCCATGACCTCACAGGTCCAGGTCAGTGA